AGGAAAAAAAGAGAGAGAGAGAGAGTTTAGCATATCATAATACAAATATTTTTTGGAAATATGCACCCAAAAGTCCCCTCTCTTCATATATGTGCACTTTAGCCCAATCAATACTTCTCAGCAAACGGAACCCCAAGCTTCAATATATGTGGCAAGTGGAGATAATTTTATTTATTTATTTACTATTTTTTTGTCTATTCGAATTTAGTATAATAGAAAATTGGATGACTTTAATTTTTGTTGATAAGTCGTCCCAAACCGACCAACCCAACCCGACCGATACTTGATTGGGTTGGGTTGAGTTGGGTTGGCTTTCAACCTGTACACGGGTTGGGTTAGATTAAATTTTGATCAAATAGATCATGTTGGGTTGGATTTGGGTTTGGATTAAGGCAAAAACCGACCCAACCCATGCACACCCTGATCAGAACCCCTTTCTTCAACTTGACTTAAGTGTAATGCTCCACGGAACGATCATTCATCAAAACCCTCCGACCTTTAATAACAAACCAACTTCTACTCGAGCTATACTGCCTTTTCCTCTACCACGACAAAGAAAAATTCGGCTCCGTTTGACGCAGAACACTTTCACCACCGCGTCCATAACCACCCTCGAGACTACGCTCTCCACACTAATCAGCACAGCGACAACACATCCATTAGCAATAGGAAGAGCTGGAACAGGTAAGGTTTTCATGATGGAGTTGTCTATTTTGGGGATCTTGCGATGGCGGCCGCGGCGTCGATGGTGTGCGGACGAAGGAGGAGAAGCGGGGTCAATGAGCTCAACATTGTTGACGGAAAAGACGACATCGACGGAGGTGGTGGTGGACGAGGAGGTGGTTTCGTTAACAAAGTTGGTCTCCGACGATCGGTTTTTGGGCCAACGGTCACGCTTCCTTTTATAATTGGTTTCGCTGCACATACTTGAATTGAATCGAAATGAGGATTTTGGCACAATTTGAAGAAAGAAATATCGATTTGGAGAAAAGGCACGTGGGACTTTTTCCCAATAAGCTGAAGTACGACGTAGTTTATGATAGAGCATGGATCCGAAGGAGTTAATGGTTAGACCTTGACTACGACGTATAATAAGCGGGCATAAATGGGTAAGGTGTTGTTTGGGAGCAATTAAATTGGATTAACCTCAATTTCTTCACCGCTGGTCTTTGAAAGTGGGTCCCAAACAGCCAGCTATTTTTGACTTCCTAATCAGTAAATTATCATCTAAAAATTCATTTCCAAATATATTCTTTCAGAATGGTCAAACATAAGGATTGATGGAAATGTCTATAAGTAATTCGGGGTGTATTTGGTGCATATTAAAATGAGAGAATACATTTTTTTGAAGTGATGTGATGGAAAATATTATTTTATTGAAAAATGTGTGATTGAAAATGAGTAGAAGAATGAGAATGAAAAAAAGAATGTATCTCAAATAGGGCTTCAATGTAAAAATAGGGGTCACATAGTCTTTTTCCACTGAACTTCAATTTTAAGGTGATAATTTATTATTGGTGAAGTAAAAAAAAAGGCAGAAGAGGTATCATTTTCCTTCGGCAACAGTCGAATAATTGATTCAAATATTGGCAAAATCTCTTCCAAACAAGAATATAGTCCCCTAGTTCAGCTGAATTGCCAATCTCCATTGAATACAAGATGAGTTATTAGTAGGGAAAATTACACAAACAAGGAAAATTGGGGGTGAATTGATACAGAGGACATTACTATAATCCGCATTAATGCAAGATGAATTATTAGCAGGGAAAATTACACAAGCAAGGAAAATTGGAGGTGAATTGACAAAGGGGATGTTATTATAATCCATAAAAGACGGATTCGAAATTCACTTTATACACAATTATAATCCAAAAAATCAACAAAAGGGGATGTCTACTTACAAGAATTTCTTGCTTACAAATTTCATATCCATCAACAATAGGTACTCCTACTTTTCATATCTTCGGTCGACCCACTTTACAAACTATACTCCTTTATTACTCGTAATTCCTTCTATTTCTCTTCATTATACAACAAAACTCCCAACTTTATATACAACTCCGGCCTTCATAAAAACATTATAATATCCGAATGTTCAGTTGCAATTTAGCTAAAAAAACCTGCAAAGCCAGATATCACAACCCATCATTGAGTTCAAACTGCCGGTGCTCGAGTGCACATCTTCACCGAACAATTCAACTCTGTTTTAAGTACTAGCTTACAGATTCAAAAAAGAGGACCTGGGGTTGCATGTGTCCTCTTTCACACATGGTAAGAACATCATTCCAGCTTCCAATTTCCTAGACATCACATACCAATTATATTAGTGCCTATCTGAGCCCCATATTTGTGAAAAGTGAGTTTTATAATAGTGATTTTTTGGAGAATGTGTGGTTAAAAAGGAAGAAAAATTTTTGGATTTACTTGCAAAATTATTTTATTGGTAGAATGTGTAGTTGAAAATGAATTTGAGCAAAAATGAGCTTTTAGATTATGGGGCTCAGACGGAGGCTTAAACTATAAACAAGAAAAAGAATGAACTACATTGCAATAGAAGGCAATTTTACCTCAACAATTTCGTCATCATACATGATCCACTGTTCATATTCGTGCTTGTAGGCAAAACAACAATAGTGCTGCCCATAAAAGCAGACCTAAATATGAGAAAAGTTGAAAGGAGAAAAAGAATCAGGCAAATAGGTGTCAAAAATGAGATGGCATAAAAGTAGAGAACCATGATGCTCAAAATGGTCAACGTTCTTAGCGTTTAGGTTCAGCTAAAGAAGTTAGAACATGATATTAGAATTACCTGAATAAACAAAAAAGACGCTAAAAGAATGGTATGCGATCATAAAATGCACACTGAGTTAAAATACATGTCCTACAACACGACTATTAGTAGTTGAAGGATAAAAGCTTCACATGGTAACACTAACTTGTTACTCTTGAAAGAAACCTTTATTTTCCTTTTATCCCCAAAATTTAACTAATCTAACCATATTCTTGTAACTATGAACAAAGAAGGGAAACTGGAGAAACAATTGGGTGGTTTGATTTATAAAATGTAGTAGACACCCAAAAGCGTGAAGCTAACTGAAGCAAATGACGAGTGGCTAGTCCTCGACATTTGTACAACCAGGCCATTGATATTTTATGTGCAATTAGGATAATTACTGTAGTTCACAGAAACAAAAAACTACAACTTGACGTCCCTGTGCTCTCAGGAATACCAATATGCCAACCAAGATATGCTTTCATTTACAATTTTTCCTTCTATGATTCAGATCAAACCAATAGACTGCTTAAAGATAATATCTCTAATGCTCAAGAAGAAAGCCCTCACTGCACTAGAAAGTCGCGCAAAAGCAAAATATAGAATATAGAAACTACATAGAAAAAGACTTGAGCATACCACGGAAACCAAGCAATGTGTGCTTTTTCGGTCAAGACCACGATAAAGCACACTGATATCAATCTCAGTAGATAAGGCTGCCAATGTTGCTGTTATGTTATCAACACTTTCACAAGTATTCTGCCAACCCAGAACTGTAAATTAAAAAAACATGCTCTACATTTAGCATCTCACACGATCCAAGTATAGAAGAGTCAGTTACTACATTCAGCTAAAGAAATGAGTTGGCAAAGAATTAAATGAAATGGAAAGTTTACCAGTTACAAAAACATGGGGTTGAGCTGAGAGAACAGAGTGAATGTAGTTGAGCTTTCCACAGCCGCCAGCCTCTGGATCACAAGCTAACTTCTGATTCATCTCAATCAGGTTTAAAAGCTCATCCAAGGAATTTTCTGGGTGCATAACCTAAAGTGGAAAACGCATACTTTTTAGCACTACATTTCAAGAATCAAGCACAAATTGTTTTTGAAATTCCAAAATTTATCTACCACCAAGAGTAGAACCTTTATTAGATAATATATCATCCAAGAACACATGCCTTCATTGTTCTGAGAGCACTGGCATTGATATTACGAAAAAATGATTTGTAATTTAGATGTCTGGACTCCAAACTGCAACTGTCACACTTCATTCTTTCAAATATTTCCATTCCAAAAAGAGAATGTGCAATACAAGATAACCCCGTGCATTCAAAGGAGCCAAACTGTAGGACAGGTGGTGGTGCGCAAGGAAATGACTGATGAAGGCAATCAAATATTACCCCCAAAACTTCTGAAGCATCATTCATCTGTCCCTGCAGATTTGTAGAAATATTATTCAGGAATCTAGAAAAAAAATAGGATTACAAGATGTCGAGGAAATGAAGTGACATGTATTGTACTAAAAGAAATAAAAATACAATGCAGAAGTTGCGCGTGATTTACCTCCCGGAAGAAATTACTATCCGGATACAGGTTGCTCAGAGCAATCCTCAAAGATGTAGGAGCAACTGCTTCTCTTCGACTATCCATATGTGCTGTGCTCAGAGAAATGAAGATATCACATAAAGCACAGATAACACAAGGAACACCAACATGAACATGTCCAGATGTTGATCTGAAAAATTCATCTTGAAACCGTTGTAAGTGCCACAAGGACTGAATTACAATAAAGAATCAATATCAGGCCCAAGGAAAATTATTACCAAGAGAAAAAATAAACAGAGAAAGATAACTCTTATGAAAAAAAGCATCCTCTCTAATTCGACCTGTATTATGACGTTGAGAAAGCAATTATATTCACCAACTTCGTTTTTCAGACCAGGGCCACACATATCCTGCTGTCTTAAATCAAAACCAGTCCCGGCAAAAGCAATTGCAGCATTAGGATCATCCCCATCTGGAGCACTTATATGTGATCTGTAGTGATATAAGAATTGCATACAACAAATTATTCAAATGCATTTAGATGAAATACATGAAGAACATGCGCATGGATAGGGTTTCTGGTAAAAGAGACTCATACTTCTCTTCAGATGTTTGATCATGAATCATGAGCAGCTCATTACCACCAGTGGCCTGTGAAAATAATAGTTGGAGTGGAAAGAAGTAAATATAACTGTGCATCCTACAGTTCTTATTTATAATAAATAACCAATAGCTATCATCATGCATTTCAAACCTTTGAATCCTTGTTTTTCCTGCTCTCCTTGCTCCTTTTCTTATTCTTGATCCTCTTATGCATATGTCCTGAATTATCGCTTACTCTACCAAAAACCTGCTCAGAATCAAGAGCAAGTTCCGCCAAAAGTGCTTCACTGGCAGCATCAGATTTCTTTGTGGCCTCTTTCTCTGCCACATCCTCTAAATGTGCCTGGAAAAAGGTGAACAAAAGAACCTCTAGTTCATCTACAAACAATGCAAAAAGGTTGAGGGATCATGTGCAAAAACACCGCATGCCAGATACCACCTGCAAATATGATTTCACTAGAGGCACCAAGATTGATCTGAAATCATGGGCAGATGCAGGGTCAAGCTTAACTTCCAACTGCTGCATTGAATTAACTACTTGCAGCATCCTTGCATCAACTTTACTGAGCTGTATTAATAGAACAGTGAGATAAAGCAAAAAGTGTACACATAGTTTGGTCTTAATAACAAAAGGACAAAAAGTAAAACCAGCACACCAACCTCCAAAGACACATTGTGCTTCTTTATCTGTAATGCATGTATAATGGAGGAATCATTACCAGATTCTGCATCCTTTAAAACATTTTCTATAGCAGCACGCTCATACCCATTTTTGATAACAGTAATTCTATCGCCACTTCCAATGAGCTCTTCTAGCCGCTTCCTCAGGACAGAGCCATAACTTTGGGGGACAGAGTCTACAACATGCTCTCTTTTAAAGCTCTCTTCACAACAGAGACTCTTCACATCATTCATTGCTTTAAGGTAATTTAAATGATCATATTTTCTCCGACACAAGCTCTGTAGGTCGTAGAATTTCTTCTCACGTAACTCAAGAATTTCCTTACCTTGTTGTGCCTTCTCTTCCCTTTCACATGTCCAGGATACCAGTAGCTCCCCAATTGAGGGTCCTGTAAATATCCAGGACATAATTGCATCTGAATCAAGTATGGCATTGTCGTTCTCATAGTATATGCACGACGAAGTTGCTGAACTAGAATCATCACCACACAATGAAGAATTGAGCTTGCAGCAAAGGAAACCATCATCAAGTTCCAATACTAAATCATCTAAAGTAAAACTTATCTTCTCCGTAGTGTCAACAATCTGAGTACCACTTGTCGAACCATCCATGAAATTCCTTTCTTCAGACTGAAAAATTTCCCTCTCAGTTACAACCAAAAAAGTCAGGATTTTTTTAAGATCGGGAGCACCCAGAAAGCAGATACACAGAGGTGTTTGGTCCATACCAGAGTTAAGAAGCTGAGAACAATCAGGAAGACGCTGCAGCACCTCAACTGCATAGTGTATAACCTGGCCAAGACTACTTGAGGAAAGATAGTTATGACGTATAAGCTGCTGAAATTTGGCATGGATTTTTTCCAGAAGCCATGCACAGTTTGAGTCATCAGTTGAAGGCCAGCTTTTATAAAGCAAACTTTTCTTATGGGCTTGATTTTCATCACCCAATCTCTCTTTTCCAGGTGATGAATCATCTTTGTTGTTTCCAGGTGATGAATCGCCCAATTTTGACCCTTCTTTAAGCATCTTGATTGCAGCATCTAAATCTAATGGTTTCCAAGAACAATTAAGAAGCATCTCAGCCCACTCATTCTCCACTCTTTTGGGTACAATCAACTGAAATTCGCGTAAAAAAGTTCCCATATGCTCCTGAATGGTATGCTGCCTATGTGTATCTGCATCTGGAAATTTTTTATTGCATCGATAGCACAGCCAAAACTTCCATACCTTATTTTCTTTCCCAAAAGATAAAGCTTCATCAAGCACCTCACTTACTGACTCTTCCTTTAACAAACTAATATGTGCCTTGAGATCTGAAATTCTAACTCTAAGCAACTCTTTTTTCGAATCCAGATCCATTGAGTTCCAATAAGACCGAACCCGGTCCCTTATCTCAATGGAAGAAATGTTTCTCCTCACATTCCCACTTTTCCTTTTTTCTCCCACTCCCTGCACCTTCCCTGAACTAGAATCCAACCCCTTATTACTATCAATATTACTACATTGAGGAGACTCGAACTTATGCTGCAGAATCCGAGCGGCAGTCACTCTCACCTCTATCTCCTTCCTACGTTCCTCAGAGGTCTTATTTGCCTTCTTTACCGATCTGAATTCCATTGGAATAGAACCAAACTTCTCCTCTTCACTGCCCAGATTCTTCATCCCAGTCGAAACAGATGCAATGTTGGACTTCTTCATCAAAGACCGTAACTCATTTTGGACATGGGCAACTCGAGCTTCAGACGAGGATATGTTATGATAGTTCTCCTCCTGTAAAGTATCCTTGGCTGGGTCTGTGGGATTTTCAATTGCCAAAGCCCTCTCGCACTCTTGCACTACCTCCTCATAGTCCTTCCCCTCATTAGCTGTCTCAAACAACAAATTCGCATAGAAACGAGAATACTCAATAGAATTCGGGGACAACGTCACAGACTTCATTGCGCTCTCTACTGCGTTCTTCAGACGCCGCTGTTTGGCATTCGGTTCAGTGATATTCGATGTTATCTTGACACAAACATCCCCGAGGACATGGTGAATAAAGGCCAAGAAAGGAGAATTCTCGTGTTTAGAGCACAAATCCTTCATCAACTTTAGGGCTTTCGTGTGGTTCCCTTGGCGCAGAACAGTGAGTGCTCTCTCGCACTCGAGCTTAATTGCATTACCGTCGGCGGCGGTTGTTGGAGACGCCGCCGGTGGCTTGGAGGATTTTGAACCAGAATCAATGTTTCGCTTCTTGCGCCCCATATTAATTTCTTGTTACAGCTATTGAAAATTGGATGTACGCATGAATGTATAGAGACGTATAATCGAGTTGTATGCATAGGAGGCGGGAAGAATAACTAAATGGCAGTCAGTTAATGTAATTTGAATTTAGTTAACAAATAGCCACGTGGCATAATACTATTTGAGGAGCTAAAAGCCTAAAACCCTTCTTCCTCTTTGAAATTAGACCACTCCTACTCCTTTCCTATTTGTAAAGTGAATGTCACCTACATACCAAATAGCATTATTCATTTGTAAATTATTTATAAATTTGTAGGTTAAATAATTATACATTAAAGAGTAACTTAAACTATGTTTAGGTTTATTGTCTAGCGAATAATCAGGGTCGAGAGATGGTAGTTTACTTTTATTGGATGTCAGTGATTTAAAATGACATTTGGCTAAGTTTTAAAAAATTACTTACAAGTAAGCCTCTGTTTGATATTCATTCTTTTTTTCATTCTCATTCTTCTACTAATTTTCAACCACACATTCATCAATAAAATAATATTTTACATCACATCAATAACTTTTCCTTCATTTTCAACCACAAAAAAGGTGTGATTTGACACAAAGAATGCATTCTTTTCTAGAATAATGGTTACCAAATGGTGCCTAANAGGTGATGGTGGTATTGATTTAGGTCGAGTAGGGCAGTGGTTGAAGGTGGCGGAGTCAAGAGAGAGACAAAGAGAACGACACCTAATTATTTGATGTCCAATACAAGTAAAGAGTTAAGATAGCAAGTCAAGATAATTCAATTTTACGAATTAAAATAGAATTATCTATGTGATTTTATATATTTCGAGAGATTAGTCTTGGGCTTTTAATTGACTAAACAAATTCGATTGATAACATGAGTCCAATTATTACAACTTGATTTATATGTTTTCGATTGGGTCCCTGTAGTTGCTCCGATGAAGTCCAAGGACTTACTTATAATTAAAATTTAAGGGTTGCAAATAATACCTAGTCAAAGTTTGATGGAAGTCAATTGGTTGACTAGATTGGTCAAACCCATTTTTTTAATTTATTAAAAGGAAAAATTCGAATTTGACCATATATAGTCCACGTTTGATCTACATTATTATCTCATTAAAATGAAAAATATGACCGTTATCCATCACATCAATATTTAAATTCAAATTTTCTATCTCCTGTGTGGACCCCAATAATGACTATATTTTTCATTCTCATTTTACAATAATTTGGTTCAAACAGGGCAACAATCCATCAGAAGTGTAATAAACATTACTGTACACCACAAAACTCGCAAAAACATACATAAGCTGCCAATCTAAAATTAATTAGCAGCAAATAATGAGGTTTTCTAGTGCCAAAGGAAATGCAAGCACCTCACCAATGCCAAAACCGAGAGCAATACAATCCTTCGACGTTGAAATACTCACAGCAAATGCATCCGCTCAACATAAGACTGTAACAACCATCGGTTGAGAGGCTCTCCACATGCTACAAAGCACCCATAGTTACCGTTTTCCATGAAGAAAGGGAACCTGAATGTGTTCAGCAACTCTTGCACGGCTTGTCTCACCATAGAGGATCCTGTCACCCGGCTCCGTCTGCCCCAACCGGTGATAATATCAATGCGGTTTGGCCCAGTTCCTGAGGCAAGCATTTGTCTACGAAACCATGCAAGTGTTCTTGATAATGCAGTTACAGCGGTTCCATCCGACATAACATGCAGGTTTATAAGCCAGTAACATGAACTTTTCTCTCTGACCACATCTGGATAGACGTTCTTCAGTGCTGCCACCTCCCAAACTGATCCAGCTACCTCCTTAAGCCCCGACTTATGGAAAAAATCGATAATTGCATCCACGAGTCCCCTCTTACTTTCTCTATCTTCACTGTGCATCATATCCAAGAAGTTGCTAACATGATCCCTCACATTCTGCCCATCAGGTCCTGGAGTAGGCATAGACAGTAGAAATGTATGCACTGGATGGCCAGTGACTGTCATAAGCTCACAACAAAATGACACGTCGAACGATGTTTGGGCTTCTGTGCAACAACTAAGAAGCAACGTGTAAGTTTGCAAAGAAGGTTTCAGACCCAAACTGTGCATGCTCTGTAGCAAGTTATATGCATCAGATAGACGGTGTACCCTCAGGAAAGCACTAAGAAGAGAATTACATGTAGGAACATTCGGGAGTAAATCTGCACTACGCATGGCTTGATACCATTCCCAAGCCTTCTCCACGTTCCCTGCCTTTCCCCACAGGTCGACAAGAAGACCATAAACGGGCTCATCAGGAACCCAGTTTCTTCTCTTCATCTCCACAAAAACTGCCTCAGCTTCATCAAGATAGCCACAATGGCCAAGAACCTCCATAACTATGCTATAAGTTACTTTGTCAGGCTCAAATCCAGTTTTCTGCATGTCACGATACAGCTGCAGAGCACTCTGGTAGTTCCTTGCCTTTGCTTGCAAAGCAATCATAATGTTGTAAGTCACCACGTTAGGTACGCACCCATGATTAACCATCTCACAGAATAGCTTGTCAGCTGCAGCCAAGTGGCCAGCTTTCCCAAGGCAATTAATGATTACACTGTAAGTGAAAGTATCAGGAGAAAGTCCGGCTTCTTGCATCTGCAGATACATATCCATGGCAACATCAAGATACCCAGCTTTTGCATGGATGTCAATCAGCGTACAATAGGTTACACGGTCAGGTTCACATCCTGCTTTTCGCATTTGGCTAAAAACACCCAACGCTTCGTTCAAGTAATTTGCTCTACCATAACTATGAATGAGACGATTATATGTAACAACATTTGGCAGACATCCATCACTGACCATCTGATCAAGCAACTTGTTTATTGACCCAAACTGCCTCGCACGGCCAAGGATACCAACCATGGTAGTGTATGTGTGTCCATCATGCTTGAATCCTGGTTGTCGTTTCAACCAATAGAAAAAACCAAGAGCGACGTTATAATCATGTAGCTGCTTAAGAATTTGGTTTGCTTGGTAGGCATCTACTGAATAATTCAGATTTCCAAGAGCCTCTTTAGTTGCCAGACTCCATCTGAACTTCTGTAATATGCGAGAAACACTTTCAACCACATAACTAGAATTTAAAAATTTCTTGGCCACTGGAGCAACTTCTGTTATTACTTCTGTCTCTCTTATGGGCCTAGCAAACCCTTCTGGCGTGCTGTTAGTACTCTTTCTTTCTAAATGTTGTACACCAGCCACGAAGCAGTTTGAACAAACTCTTGATCTTTGAGGAATTGACCTTTTCCTCTCACGAGCCTCCGAGGAGATACCATGGGAATCTACAAAATTCCCTGATCCATTACTTGGCACATTCTTCACCGCTTTGTCTGAACCCAATTTATCAGCTCTACCTTTTGTACCATAAGCGACATCAGTAAAGTTCGACTCGGATGACTCAGCAGATGATTTTCCATGGATTTTATCTTTTCTAGATGTTTTCACATTTACTGATCTGATGTTAGAAATGGGCTTTGAACGTTCAACCACAGAGTTCTGTGGTGCATTAAGCATTCCATCTAAAACTGGAATCTTGTTATTTACCAAGTCGGATAAAACACCAACAGCTGCAAAACCTGCTTTAACAATTTGGTCCGTAATAGGAGGTGACGAATGTATCATCTCCTTTGCATCCACACCATCTGCATAATTAACACAACTTCCTCTGTCCAATGAGTGGGATACCCTTATTACTTGTGGTGGAGAACTCCCCACCGTAGAATTTGCTGCTTTTCCTGCATCATTTGATATCTGCGAATCTACTCCTAACGAAGCTTTTGATGCTAAGGCTGATGATGCTTGCAAATGTTGGACATTTGTTCTGAGAGGCCTCCTAGATATACAAGTCTCATCTTCAGAGCAAGTGCATGAACTCTCATCTGCTGTGCTGCATCGTGGCCCGCTTAGGAAAAAAGATCTGGCAGACTGGGATAGCGTGCCAAGCTGCTTTGCTCTTAACATAGTCTGTAGATTCCGTGTTGAAAATAAGAGTTATGTTCAACTTCAATAAAATAGTAGAAAAACCATAATAAACATATTACCATTATCTTAACTAGCCGAGGAGTCACATAACCAATACAGCATCTGATGCACAAAAAAATACACAACACATCAAGATGCAATTGATAACAGGTGATTGAATCATAGGTATAGTTGGCAAAAAAATAAAGAATTTAGAATGAAGGACTAAACTATTCAGATGACACTATTGATGCATCTAACACCAAAAGAATGGGTACCAAGAGGAAAAACTTGATAAATGCTAGGAGATATCCACCACTAAATATGGTAAGAGGAATGAGTGGACATACGCTCTAAAAAGAGCAGCAGGGTGGTAAAATATTGAGCTCAGTCTGACAAGGAAAAAAATGAATTGCCATCAATAGCCAATAAACAAAAAATAACAATTTAATAAACAGCAGCAATATCAGGACCTCTCTTAAATTTTTGAAAACAAGTTGTGGCCGTACGAAGATTTTCACAAGACATCAAATTATGTCTCCAGAAGAAGAATAAAAAGAAATATATCTTAGACAGTTACTTAACCACCCTAAAATGATTCATGCATTGATATGCATTTGAACAAACATCTGCTTCCAATTAATCACAAACTGAAATATTAATGTCAAGAACTATTAGAGAAAGACAAACTAGTGAAAAAAACAAATCAGATGGCAACTGCATCCACTAATTGCACATTGTCATTACAGATAAATAATTGGTTCCAACAGCAGTGGAGATGACAGATAATAAGAAGGATGTCAAAAAGGCACGTTCATGGCTAACTTGACGGAGACAATGGACACAATTTATTATTCTTCGTTTCTCAATCAGAAACAATCAAGTGATCAAAGAAAAGGATAGTGGCAGTAAATACCAAGAGACCTTGATTCAAATGTATATTTTAAGCACATTAAATTGAAAAAAATATATATATTGGCAGAGCTTTTGAATACAGAAATCTTAAACTACAATTAGATGCAGAAGTGTCACAAAATCAAAGACTAATATGATCTCCAAGGCAGAAAATATTCTCCAATGCGTCATTAACAAAATAAATAACACTAACAATCATCGTTTACCCATAAATTACAACTAAATAAAAATGCAATCTTTTTTCATAATTATATTTAAAAAAATGCAAAAACATAGCATTTGATATTTTCCATATCCTATAAGACCCAGCACAATACTACAATCCAAAACACTAAAACAGACCAACATAAAAGCATAACGCCAACCATTCACTCAAAATACGACCAGAATGCATGAAAATCAAACAATCAAAAGAAGAAAAATTCGGAGAAATAAAAAATGCTAAAAGCCAACAGAAACCCGCATTATAAATCGTGACGAGAGTCTCATTAAAGCACCCGTAAAAACTTCACAGACAGTATAACAAACCATTCCAGCTGAAGCCCGCCTACTAAACTCAAAAACTAAAAAAATTCACATCTAAGCAAATTCGAAATCAAAGGAGAATCAAAGAAGAGAAAATACCTCAAATTGTATTCTCTCCAACTCTAAAAGAATCAACGATTTTAGAGACAAAAAAGGAAAAAGAAGAGAATGGAGGCGGAGAGCGGCTGCTCAGTGTTTTGTGTCAACCTATTAACTTGGAGGGATTGTTCCTAATTTTGTGTTTCTATTTTTATTTTTATTCGCGGATATTTTATTGTGATATTTGATTAAGTTACCCCAAATTTTATGGTAGGGAGTTTTGTGATGACTTCATATGCCACGTGTTGTGTTTTCCACGGTTGATTTGTGGTTGTCAGATACTTCTAGTCACAGCTCTCGCTTTACGTTTTTCCTTTTTCTAACTTTATTATTATTTTTCCTTTTTAGCTATTAAAATTTTGACTTTTGGTATGTCTAAGTGTGTTATTCAGTGTGCACGTGCAGACTGACCAGCTTTTCCTCACTTTTCTTTCCTTTTTCTTTTGAATGATGCTATTTATAGTATGATGATAGAATATTGCAAATGTGAGAGAGTATATAAAATAAGAATAATGTTAGATGTACACTCGGTGATTTATATAATGAATTACACCCTACTCATATGGAGGGGGGTCCACGAATATTTTATTGTGTATGGACCCCCCTCCCATGTAATTCAATGTGTACATCTAGCATAACTCATGAAATAATAAGATTTGACATTTCAATTTTTATAAAAGAGAGAAGAAAATGTGAGAGATTATGGATTGTCACATCACTGATATGCTATTATCATGATAATAGCATTACTTTTTCTTTTTTTATAAATTTCTACTTAAAATTTGACATTTTAGCCTCTGTTTGTCCAGTATTCTTTTGAAACTCATTTTTTTTATACTTATTTTCAATCACACATTTATATAATAAAATATTTTATATGTAAATTTAAAAAAAAAATTATACTTTTTAACTATATATTCTCCAAAAAAATCATTATTTAAATAATATTTTTTTCAGAAAAAAAAATATCTACCAAACATGGGCTTAGTTGTCAAATTTGGGGTGGGATAAATTATCCACTTAGCCCCTGATAAGTGCGGATTTTTGCACTTATTCAGGCCATTAAATTTAGATATTTGTGAGTTTTTATTAGCAATTTATTATTTAATTTAGTTATTTTTATTGTGTAGGTGAAAACTAGAGTTTGAATGATGATTAGAAGGAATTTACGCGAGAAATGAGCACAAAGAACCAAATATGCAAAAATTTCAAAGTTCGGGGACCAAGATTATCACTTTTTTGAAAGTTGGGGGATTATGCTGCAATTTAGGCATGAGGGTTTTAAATTATAAATTGCAGCCCCTGTTTAAAAGGATGAGCTTCATC